AAGTATCCCTGCCTGTGTTACCATAATTTGTATTGTTGAGCATACAGGCTTTAAAAATGTTATCGCCATTGAGGTGGTTCTTCTTTTTTTGGCTTTTCTACTGTATTTGAATCCACAGAGCTGTCAGTTAAAGCTGATACATAATCCAGCTACTCAGTCTGGAGGAGAGCAGGTAGAGAACTGACTTTTCTACTGACTTTTTTGCGGGGTGGGGAGGGAGTGGTTCTTGTTCATTTAAGGAAACAGCAAAAATGGAACAGCTTTAAACCTGCGTTGGCAGTGCTCCTTTTAACCCAACTTGTATATCCAGTGTAATGAAAACTGACACTAGCACCTCGCTTCTGGCTTACGCTATTAGGAAACCGTACAACACCCTTCCACCCCATCAACTGAGGAAAAGGAAGCCGGTGCTACTTATTTCCTAGATCCTTTTTGCTTCTCGAGGCAACTTAGTTCTTGCATTCTTTGGCCTACAACTTCCCTAGCAGCGTTGTGGAAAAATTAGCAAGCCAGCTAGCTAAGTACCCCTGGATAACAAGAACAAAGAAACGCTTACAACAAAGTTAATGAACAAAGGAAGCCTAGGGAGGGGGCTGTGGTCTTGGATGAGGGATAAAAATCATTGAAGGAAGAATGTGTAAAGGCTTTGAGTTTAAAGTCTCTTATTTCTCTCTTTTTCTCTAATAGAGGTTGGTGTCTTGGCAAAACAGTATCTTGAGCAAGGCCTTTTGGTACCAGATCATGTAATCACTCGTCTCATGATGACAGAGTTGGAGAAAAAACAGACCGAGCACTGGCTGCTGGATGGTAAGTAAACTGCATGGCTTTAGTTCTTCCCCCTGCTCTTTCTTTCTCCATTTGAAATTAATCTGCTTCAACCTCTTGAAGCCAACCTGCTTTGCCATGAATAATTTCTTATTAAAACAAATGTGACACATACACAAACAGAACCAAGCAAAGTCACTGCAACTTGTTCAGCTGCGGGGGTGAAGGGAGGGGAATAGAAAAAACACTTCTGAGAACTTATAAGGACAACCCATTTGCGGTGTGAAATTCCTGCTTTGTGAAACGAAACAGAGATCCTGCTTGCAAGAAATCACATTGACTCGCAGGGTCCTTATTGTAAGTTAGATTAAAAATCCTTTTGAGAGGTACTATCATGCTGAAAGCATTTGGAGGTCTCTGTAGGACCTGTTATGCTGCTGGGATAGCGCATGGCAGTACCTTGTACAATGTGGGATGGAGAGACGGGCTACAGAGCCTCCCTAAAGGTACCACCATTTGCTTAACAGACCCTTTCCCTTGTGGACTCCCTTTCATTAGCAGAGTTTCTTGCATCCTGATCCCTGTAACAGAGGCCCTCACACTGAAGGCTATAACCGTGACTTTCTTTGGGGGGTTCTTTCTTGTCGCCTTTCTTATCTGCAAAGATCTCAACAGGGGAAACGAAGTTACTGCTGCTGCTGACTTGCTGCACTTAGTCCCCCTCCACCCCTCCTGGGGTGCAAAGTGAAGTGCTCATTTCCTGCTCTGTGCCAGTGAAGTGCACTTTTCCAGCCTTTTGGATTTTTCTCATGTACAGGAACATGGGAAGCCTGGCAAGAACCCTGTGTTATGCAAAGCAGGCCTCTCACTCAGTGCAGTATTAAATCATGGCATGCAGCAACTGGTGGGTGGGAGTGACTGGAGATAAGCCAAGATAAATATCTTTTTCATGGGCATATAAAGTAGCAAGACTCAGTTCTGTATTGTGTGCGCCAATAAGAAGCTTTAAAAACACTCAAAATACATTCAGGCAATGTGTGTGTGTGTGTGTGGTGGGTCTCTCCTCCCTGCTGTTGCCTCTGGTTATGAAGGTGAATTCTGCTAAGAAATAAGGTCCCATTTTCTCAACCAAAATCACTTTTTGGGGAGTAAGTTGTAAATTGGATGTCCCTCTGGTGTCATACAAAGTCCTTTTTCTTAGCATCAGGCCTATAGTGTTAGTGGCTCGACCAAACTGAGCATTTTTAATAGCAGCAGTTTCCACTCTCCACATCTCCCCAAGTTTTAACTGTTATTTGTGCACCTACTTTTTGGTGTGACAGGTGGTTACCAGTGCCCTGGGTTTGCGGGGAGAGGGAGTTAGACGAGGGATTAACTTGTGAACATATTCTGCGAAAGTAGTGTCCTGTTCTGCCCCCCGCCCCTGGTGAAATTGAGATGAAACCTTTGTGAACAATGCTAATGACTGTAAATGGAAAAACAGTGATCAGTGTCTGAGGGCCTCTATTGTATGCTCTATGAGCATACTATGAGCATACTAGAAATATGTACATGTTCATTTACATTATAATTATGTTTGATAAATTTATGTACAGCAGCTTAGGTCTTGGGGTTCAGATCTAGTTCAGGAAGCTAAAATCTGAACTTTACAGCATTGGCTCCTTGGTAGCGCAGCTGAGGGTTTGTGCTGATCTCATGTGTTACGTGTGAATGGCTCTGACTTTTTTGACTCTGAGAGCTACCATTTAAATCCATTTTATTTCCACTTCCTAGAAATGTCTTGTTCAATAGATTGGAGCAAAAAGGATGTAGTTGACTTTTTAAAACAGCCCTTAAAGTGCTCTTGGCCATGCATTCAGAGTGATCTTTCTGTATCCCATTCTAAACAAGCCAAGAAAAAACTTGCTTTGGTGTGGTATTTATTCTTTTAGTCATGGTCACTGGCTAGCTGCAAACTCTAGAATGTAAGAATTTTAAACTATGATCCTATGTGTTGTAATTATCTTTTACCTGCATTATAAAACGCAGCTTCAGTGAGATTGGTTGGTATTAACCTCTTGAGTACTTCTGTGAGACCTCCAGCCAGTGTCTGTCCACATTTGGTAATAATCCTCCATTTGTGGCTCCTGAGATGATTTCATGGAAGTGTGTAGAATATAGTGCATAGATGACTCTACTGGTATGGGCCCAAAATTTCAGTTGGTATAATCTAGACCAGAGGCAGGCAATTATTTTGGGTGTGTAACAGTGAGCAGGGCTCCCCCCAGAGGTGTGTAGATGTATGTGGGGGGGTGCATCTGTGGGTAGGTGTAGTGTTTGTGGGGTGTGTGATTTGTGTGGGGAGGGTATGGTTGTGGGGTTTGCAGGGGAGCATTTGTGGGTATGGTGGGGTGTGCATGGGACCCCTGCGCTCACCCCCTGAGTTGGTCAGCATCTGCTTCTGCAACAGCTCAGGGCCAGCATGCCCTGCGGCGCCTCCCCACCATCACCAGCAGCGCACAGCCCCAGCCCGCCCCATGCCCACTCCGGAGTCACCCCTGTTGCAACGGATCAGCTAGAACCCACGCACAGCCCCAACGCAGCCTGCCCCATGCCACCCAGCCGTGGCATGTTCTGCTGCCTCTGGGCATGCAGTGGGGCAGGGGCAGCTCCAGCAGGACTACCCTTCTAGGCAACTGAGGTGGCAGGCGACTCCTTCTGGCTGCTGCTGGCCCCAGCCCTATGGTATCGATGGGGACCTGCACTGCACAGCCCCGACCCTGTGTGCAGCGCAAAACTGAAGCTGTTGTCCAGTGCAGGGGGAAAGCATCACCTCCCCTCCCACTGCCGGCCGTTTCCCTGGTACAGCCGCATGGAGGCTGCGCAGGGCTGCCCTACGTCTCCACTGCCACCTCTGGGCTGCCCCATGGGACAGTGGTGGCAATGCAGAGCAGATGCAGGGCAGCCCCACGCAGGCTTCAGGCAGCTGCAGTGGGGAATTGCTGGCAGCAGGAGGGGAAGGGGCTGCTTTCTGCCTGCGCTGAGCAACAGCTTGTGTCCCGTGCTGCTGCTGCTGAGCCTGGGCAGGTGAGCCTGGAGTAAGTGTGGGGTCAGGGCTGTGCAGTGAGGGTCCCCACTAGTACTGCGGGGCTGGGGCCAGTGGTAGCAGCTGGAAGGAGCTGCCTGTCACCTGGCCTGCCTTGACAGGCAGCCCAGCTGCGGAGCCACCCCAGTTCCGTTGTGTGCCCATGTGGCATTAGGATGTGCCATGGCTGGACTGTGCCTGGGCCAGGAGACCAAGGAGACCCCCCTGTGGCCTGAATCTTGTCCACCCCTGGCATAGACAAAGTAATCCAACACTTATAAGACTTTAGACTGCAAGATGTTCACGAACTTGACAAAGGAAAGGGCAATGGAGATGTGCAGGAGCAAAGTGCTTTGTACAGAGGACCTATAGACCTGGGCACTGATCCCAATCTGCCTTGCCCACTGAACAAGTTGTGATCCTGTAAATGCTTTCGTTGGCTTTGTTTTGTGCTGCATTAACACTGTAGTGACTTGATCCAAATTCTCCCATCCCTTATGGGCCTTGTTGTAAGTTGAGAATAAAGCCTTTGTCTGGGAGACCTGTACACACTCTGAAGGGTGTGTTTTTTGTTTTTAATAATTCTGTTTTTCTTCTGTGTAATGCTTTACTTCCTTCAGAGGAAATAAAAGCTTTTTCTTGGGTGAAGTGGCATAAATTGGGGATTTCTAAGTGGTGCTGCATCAGAACACAGTCTTGTGGAAGGTAGCTAGTCGAGAGCTATGCATGCTCATAGGTGGTTAGTCTGTAATCCCTGAAAGTCCTAAGGTTCATGCTAAGCCTCTCAATGTCCTGCATCCCTTGTGTACTTTGGAGCTTGCTGTCTTTCAGAACCAGCATGTGGTTGTATAATAGAGGTGTAAAGCTTTCTCATGCTGTCCACCTTGCACAATAGATATCAGGAGCACCATTCATAGGAGGTAGGAGAGGATGCTGGAAACTTCCATTTAATTTTAAGTAGCAGTCGTTCTAGGGTGAGGAACAGCTTTCTGGTGGTAAATGGCAGGACAAAGTAGAAAGGTCCCTTTCATCATTAAGATCTGAATTATTGCAGCTGGATATCTAGCTTACCCACCAGGGACGTGGGCTCCTGCAGAAGTCTTACTTGCTGACTTTTGTGGAAGGCTGCCTTCAGTTGAGCCATGTCATCTTAATGGCAGCCATACAGGGAAAGAAACCAATAAGCCATGTGTGCACACCATTAACATAAATAATAAATCAACTTTTACATTAGTGTAAACAAATTTTATTCTCCTAATGGCTAATCAAGTAACTGTTCTGACCTTCTGGTATGTAGTCTAACACTGCATTGCATGGGGAATGCTTTTCTCAAAGCACTGGCAAACAAAAGTGAGCCTCTCAAAGGCTTGGCGAGAGGTAGGTCAGTCTTGGCTGTAACATGGGCAGTACTGTAATTTGACAAGTGGTTGGGGCACTTCGTATTTAAGCAGCTTGCCCTGGAAAGAAGAGAATCTTGGTGGCCTGTTGCTTGTTCCCTGCTCTGACTACTGCAAGGTCCGTCTGTTTTTGGAGTTGTGTGTGTGTTTAAGTAAAGCTGAGGTTTCGTTGAATTTTATTTTCCCCAGTTCATTGGCAAACCAGATATAGGATATATAATAGCTCCCAATGCCCATCGGTCTTACTGGGAGGAGACTGCACAAGTGGTGTGGCAAGATGGTACATACTGGGTTCAGTCATTCTACTATGAATCCAGATCAACAAAGATGGTAATGGTTTGCGTTACTCAAACTCTAAGGTAGATCCTTACTCTTAACGTTCCAAAACTTGCCTATCACTTAACAAGGTCTCAGACCTATTTCTTACTAAAACAAGGATCTTGTAGCATAAATACAGCTACCGATTTGCATAAGTTATCATTACTGCACACAGAAATATTGCTGTTCATGGAACTGCAAGTGAAAAGGATGCCAGAATGTCTTTGGTTGTGATGTGCTCCGGTCTCTCCAAACAAAGCAGC